GGTCATTTTGGGGTCATTCAGGGTCATTTGGATCACTCAGGGGTCACTCAGGGGTCATTTGGGACATATTGAGGTCATTTTGGGGTCATTTGGGTCATTTTGGGGTCACTTTGAGGTCATTGGGGTCACTCAGGGTCACTCAGGGGTCATTTAGGACACTTTGAGGTCACTCAGGGTCACCCAATGGTCACATTGGGGTCACTCAGGGGTCATTGGGGTCATTTTCAGGTCATTTGGGGGTCATTGGGGTCATTTTGGGGTCACTCAGGGGTCATTTAGGACACTTTGAGGTCACTCAGGGGTCACTCAGGGTCATTGGGGTCATTTTAGGGTCATTTTGGGGTCATTCGGGGGTCATTGGGGTCACTCAGGGGTCACTCTGGGGTTCTGGACACTCTCGGGGATGGACGGGAGGGACAGGAGGGACACTGAGGAAAGGTCAAAGGTCAAAGGTCACCCAGGGGTCACTCAGGGGTCACTCAGGGGTCATTTGGGTCACTTTGAGGTCATTCAGGAGTCATTGGGGTCACTCTGAGGTCATTTTGGGGTGATTTTTAGGGGTCACATTGGGGTCACTCAGAGGTCATTTAGGGGTCATTGGGGTCACTCAGGGGTCACTCAGGGGTCACTCAGGGGTCACTGGGGTCACTCAGGGGTCATTGGGGTCATTCGGGGGTCATTTGGGTTACTCAGGGGTCACTCAGGGGTCAGGATGGACATTGGGGTCACTCAGGGGTCATTGGAGTCATTTTGGGGTCATTTAGGACACTTTGAGGTCACTCAGGGGTCACTCAGGGGTCATTGGGGTCACTCTGTGGTCACTTTGGGGTCACTCAGGGTCATATTTAACAACTTTTCCTCAAATTTCACAACTTTCCCTCATAATTTATATTTTTTCCCTCATAATTTATAAATTTTCCCTCACATTTCACAATTTTCCCCTCAAATTTCACAACTTTTCCCTCATAATTTATATTTTCCCTCACATTTCACAACTTTCCCCTCAAATTTCAACACTTTCCCCTCACATTTCATCACTTTCCCTCATAATTTATACTTTTCTTTTCATAATTTATATAATTTTCCCTCACATTTTACAATTTTCCCCTCGATTTTAACACGTTTCCCGTCACATTTAACAACTTTTCCCTCATAATTTATATTTTTTCCCTCATATTTTACAATTTTCCCCTCAATCTTAACAACGCTCCCCTCAAATGTCATCACTTTCCCTCATATTTAACACCTTTCCCCTCATATTTTATAAATTTTCCCTCATATTTCACAACTTTCCCCTCATATTTAACAACTTTTCCCTCATAATTTAAATAATTTTCCCTCATATTTTATTACTTCCCCCCAATTTTAACACTTTTCCCCTCAAATTTCACAACTTTCCCTCATATTTAACACCATTCCCCTCATACTTTATAAATTCTCCCCTCACATTTCACAACTTTCCCCTCAAATTTAATAACTTTCGCCTCACATTTTAAAACTTT